GAGAGAGAGAGAGAGAGAGAGAGAGAGAGAGAGAGAGAATGCTCATGTACAATGCACACCCAGACTACAGAATTTGTTTCCCTTGCAGCTTTATTGCTGCTTTATTCCTGTTGTTTCTAAATTGTGGCCCATAGCAGATGACTTAAGCTGGTGATTTTCAAGGAAAACATTTTAATTACATTTTTTGAAACATCCTTTACTATTTTATTAGGATGAATTTTTGTAAATGGAAATGCTGACTCAAATAGAATGCCCAAATTTATTTCAGTTTTACAGGTGGAACTGAGAAAAGTACCAATTTACAGTATACAAATTGTAATTAAATAAAGCATTGGGGAGTGAGGAATGTAGCCATCCCGATATTATTTCACAAAGGCTGTGCACCAGTTTCTGTCAAAGACTATCTTCCAGACTTTAGTTTTAGTTAGCTGACTTTCAAATAATCATTAATTGAAAAGTGTTTATGCACAAGTGCCTCCTAAAGCAGCATTACAGTAACTCATGAGAAGACCACAGGGCTTGCGTTTAACAAATCTAAGCATTTATCTCAGCACCAGGGGGAGGAAGCATGCATCTTAAAGAACATAAGAGGATATGTAAAGCAAAATGAGATAGGACGTGAAGAGATTTGTAACAACAAAACAAAGATTGACCGACTAAAATATTAAAAGTATCTTTGAATTCACATGTAATGAAGGAAACATACTGGTTTTCATTTTATGACATTGGAAAGGTTTTTAATTTTAATTATCGGACACATAAAATTAACACTGTAATTAGCACCATGCTAGACACTAGTTTGAAGTGATAAAATGCAGACATAATTTGGTAGTGATCATGAAAATTAGAAGCTACCATGGATTTTACTAATGTTTTTATTGTTTAATTTCTCTTCTAGTGTAGCACTACCTTAAACAGGTATTAAATTGAAAATATGAAATTGAATTTAATATATGTGCTTATCATGAAACTACAATCACTAGATAATTTAATGGTGAATTAAACATAGAACTATAGAACAGACTAGAATTCAGAAACTGACCAAAACAGACACAGAGATTTCACACATAATAATGATGGCATGACAAGTCTCTAGGTAAAAGATGAATTGTTGAAAAATGGCACTTGGGGAGTAATTGTCAGGGAAGATAGTGGAGTAGAAAGTGCCAATAAACCATTTCTTCACTTGGAATACAATTTTACTGGCAGAAACTGTCTGAAGTGACTAGTTTGGAATTCTGCATTCTATTTGAACATTTGCAGCTTCCAGGGGAAAGCTTGGCTGGTAAATTATGGTGAATAGCAGTCAATTTCAGCCTTCAGTGTGGTAGCAGCTATTCATTCTCCATTGTCCAGGCGCATGGCAGACAGCTGTGGGGATTGCAACCTGCATTTCTAGAATGACTTGCTGGAGCTAGGGTGAATAATAAGGATATTGTCTAAGACTCAGGGGTTTGTGTTCTTATTGCTGATAGTTGCTTCTGATCACAGAGGTGTAGGCACAAAGGCTGGCCATTGTTTCACTTCTACCAGCTAATGTGGCTTCCATGGTATGTAAAGGAGCTACACCTGTTTTTTGTTTTCAGCCATTCAAACACAATTGCATATGCAGGGTAATTTAGAAAGCCACTGTGCCTGCATAAGGAAACACACAGGCTCAGTAAGACCTTGAACTTTTACCTTAGGCTAATTTCCAGCACAGAGATATTACCAGACAACAATAAAACAAACAAACAAACAAACAAAAACAGTAAAACCCTGGGTATAAAGAAGGGAATATGATTTCCAAAGTTACCACCTCATAAGAGTCAAATGTCCAGTTTTCAACAAAGAACACAAAGCATACAAAAAATGAAAGTATGGCTCATTCAAAAGAATAAATTTACAGGAAATTTACCTGAGGAAGCACAGATGTCATGCATACTAGAAAAAGGCCTTAAAGCAACCATCTTATGCTCAAGGAGCATATGTGTTATGGAGCGTTGTCATGATGGAGGATGAAACCTCTGGTGAATGCTGCTGCTAGTAACATCAAGGTGATATTAATTGTGGTTTTTGACCTTGATGGAATTGTGCCAGCTAAGTTTGTACCCAAGAACACTATGGTGAACGATGAATATTATAAGGGCTTATTGGAGCATTTAAGAGATGATGTGCATAAAAAATGACCCAAGAATTAGGCAAACAGTTTCATCCTCCATCATGACAACGTGGGGTGTCACACATTGCTTCTGGTATACAGCAATTTCTGTAAAAAAAAAAAACCATTACGTTATGTCCTCATCCACCTTATTCACCGGATCTGGCACCATGCAACTTCTGGCTCTTCCCCAAAGTCAAAAGGACCATGAAAAGTAAATGTTTTGAATTGAATCAGGACATCAAGACAGCCATGGCAGTGCAAGTAAAGACACTCATGAAAGAGGACTTCCAGAATTGCTTCAGAAAGTGACAAGAACAATGGGATATGTATGTTCAAAGCAAGGGGGAGTATTTTGAGGGGGGTTAATGGCAGTGTGTCTTTTACTGTAATAATTTTTTTTATTTAAACACTCACTATATTTTTTATCACACCACATAGTCATGGGGATGTAAAGTATAGGGAATATAATCAATAATATGGTAATAACTATGTACATTGCCAGGTGGGTACTGTTGAATAACTATGATGTACACCTGAAACTATTATAATATTGTATGTTAGCTATATTTTATTGATTTTTCCCTAAACCCAGGGAAGTTTATTCTGAGATACTGTAAGAGTTAAATCTTATTTCCCTTCAACTTCCTTTTTTATTATTAGTTTCAGGTGTACAAAACAATGTAATAGACATATCACCCCTCACAAAGTGATAACCCCCTTCCCCAATCTGTTGCCCCTCTGACATCATATATATCTATTGGAAATCTTTTAAAAAATAATTAGAAGACCTGAACAACTCTATAGTCCAATTGGACCTAACAGAATTACAGATCTTTCCACTCAACAATAATATATACATTCTTCACAAGTGTAACTGGAATATTCTCCATGATAAACCACATTGTTAGGCCACAAAACAAATGAACACATTCAAGAAGATTTAAATCATACAAAGTGTCTTCTGATGTTAGTGGGATGAAACTAGAAATTAATAGCAAAAAGAAAAGTGGAAAATATATTAATATGTAGAAAGTAAATAATATACTTTTAAGCAATTAATGAACAAAGAGGAATTCCCAGAAGTAATTAGAAAATACCTTGAGACAAATGAAAACAAAAACACAACATACCAAAACATATGAGATGCAGGGAAAGCAGTGCTAAGTCGGAATTTTACAGTTGTGAATTTATACATTAAAAAAGAGGTAAGACCTCAGATTAACAACCTCAAGAAACTAGAAGAAGACCAAAGTAAACCCAGAGCTAGCAGAGGGAATGAAGTAAAGAATTGGGAAGAGATAAATAAAAAACAGAGAATAGAAAAACAATTTTTAAAAGACAAAGAAACTAAGAGTTATTTCAAAATATCAACAATTTGATAAATGTTTAGTTGGATTAACTAAAAAAAGGAGATAAGACTTAACTAAAATCACAATGGAAGAGGGGACATAACAACTGATGCTGTGGGAATAAAAAGGACTATAAAATAATTCTATGGATAATTATATGCCAACAAATTGGATAAATGAATAGAAATGGATAAATTTCTAGAAACACACTATGTACCAAGACTGAATATTGAAGAAACAGAAAATGTGAGCAGACTAATAACAAGAAGATAGAATTAGTAATCAAAAGTCTCACAACAAATGGAAACCCAGGAACAGATGGCTTCACAGGAGAATTGTACCAAACTTTTAAAGAATTAACAACCATTCTCCTAAAAAAATGAAGAGGAGGAAGAGGATCCGAGATGGTAGGTAAAGACTGTGCTTGCCTCCTCCCACAACCAAATTAAAATTACAACTAAATTATGGAACAGTCAACCTGGAGAACCATCTGAAGTCTAGCAGAACAGAAGTTTTATAACTAAGGAAGGCTATAAAGAAGAAGAAACATTGAGGCTGGTAGGACGGGCAGAGATGTGGAATGGGCAGACCCACATTTGCATGTGGTAATTGAGAATCAAGGAGGATATCTCAGCCGTGGAGGTCCCTCTTGGAGGAGCAAGGAACCCCCAACCCCAAATGGGGCTTCCCAGCCTGGGATACTGGTGCCAGGAAGAGGCGCTACCACAACATCCAGCTGTGAAAAATGGGGGATTCCAACCACTTGGTGGGACAGAAGGCTGCAGGTAATCCAGGTGACCTCTTAAAGCGCCTGCACACAGACTCACTTGCTTGCAGGCACTCACCCTGGGCTCTGGTGGAGGGACAGTGACTCAGGGGGCATTGGAGACATAAGGGGAGAAACTGAGTGTGTGGCTTTAGGGAGAGGACTGGAGGGACAGTTGCCATTTTCCCTGTGTGGGGTCCTTCTCCCATGCAGCTGGCAGGTGGGAGCCATCTTCCCTGTGTTGAGCCCTCCTACACATGGCCAAATCTGAATATGCATTGGCCTGGTGAACTCTGATTGCTCCACCCTGGTGACTTCCTGGGACCCTGCTCCAATCAACTCATGCAACACCTCAGACACTTTCTTGGTGAGTAGCCAGCCCTGCCCACATTGCACTCTTTCTTAGACAACTCTCAGGGGCCTGCCAGCCTGAGGCAGGTGGCAGCTGGCCTCACCTGTGCTCAGAG